CCACGGATGATCTTTAGTCTTTGGTAGACTTCTTGCAAACTTGTTGCAAGCTTCACAGGTTTCGGCCACTTGATCGATATCCCGATCAATTCCAGGCCAGAACACAAAGCTTCTAGCAACATTCTTCATTCCTGCCACGCCTATGTGGCTCGAATGTATCAGCTTTAGTACCGCAGTCCTGAATGAAAGCGGAATAATAACCCTGTTACCCCAGGTTAAACAATCTAATTCAAGTGTCAAATAATCTTTTCTTTCCCACAAAGCGGAAATTTCAGGGTTCATATTCTCGGGTTTAAATTTAGGCCACCCATCTAGAACCCACATAGATACCTTATTCAGTATAGGATCCTTTTTGGTCTCTCGAGCGATTAGCCGTGCGTCTATGAACGAATCGTCCATATTCATCGCAAATACCTTGGCTTCCTCGTCTGACTCATTTTCCTCGATACCTGATCGGGGCAATCGAGATAACATATCACAATTAGCGTGAAGTTTGGTGTTCCTATACCGTATCGTATAATTGTAATTCATTAATATCAGAGCATAACGACTTAATCTATTCGAACTCATCTCTGATATACCCTTATTTTGATTGAATATGTGTGTTAAAGGCATATGGTCAGTAACTAACTCAAATTCACGCCCATACAAATAGTAATGGAAGCGCCTAACTGCCCATACGATTGCTAACGCCTCCTTATCAATCTGTGAGTACTTCACTTCACTCTTTGATAATTTTCGGGAAGCAAACTCAATTGGCTTTTCGGAGCCATTGGCCATTACATGAGAAATAACTGCTCCCAAACCCAATTTACTAGCATCCGTTTCTACCTTAACAGGCAGCTTGGGGTTATAGCATGCTAAGTTATATGATCCGATGCTAATAACTCTTTTAACTTACCAAACGCAGACTGTTCTTCATCCGTCCATCTCCACGTCACTTCACTGCTGCGTAGTCTATCCAACGGAGCTGAGATTGTTGCTAAATCTGGTAAGTAACGTCTATAATATGAAACTGCTCCTAGGAAAGAAGTAAGCTCTTTCACATCGCTGGGTTTCGGGGTGTTGATCAAATCTTCCACCTTGCTTCTTACTGGCGACATTCCGTCTTTGGTAATTTTGTGTCCCAAGTAAATTACCTCCTCTACCATTAGCTTGGTCTTCTCAGGTCTGATTTTCAATCCGTGCAGCTCGATTCGTCTAAACACACTGTTCAAGTTAACTAAATGATCGTCATCATTAGTTCCTGTCACTAGTATATCGTCGACTCTACAGCAAACCATCGGAATATCCACAAGTATTTGATCTATTGCCTCTTGAAAGTAGGCTCCACTGTTGTTCAATCCGTAAGGAATCCTGGTCCATGCCTTTTGTCCCAGGTGAGTGTTTAACGTGGTTAAACTTATGTCCTCCTCAGCAATCATTAAGTTATTAAAAGCTTGCCGGATATCAATTTTGGAAAACTTTTGTCCCCCAGCAACTTTTGAGAAACATTCTTCGATCGTGGGAAGCAGGTACTGTTTAAAATCCATGGCCTTGTTTAGAGTTCTGGTATAATCCCCACATACTCTAACAGAGTCTCCTTTAGGAACTTGTACCACAGGGGTTCCCCAGGGGCTGTCTTTTACATCAACCAACACTCCCTGATCTGTCAATCGCTTGTACTCTATTTCCAACTTGTCTTTAACAGCGAATGGGACTCTGCGGGTCGGTTCAGATATTGGTCGTACATCACCCCGTAACTTTAATCTGATCTTGACTCCCTTAAGAAGTCCCAATCCGTCTTCTAAAGCTGGACTTTTCAACAGTTCTTCAACAGATCTCAGACGCATATCCCCGCCCGAGTCATTGAGTTTCACTACATTCACACAACTACTATCTAGATCCTGAAATGAAGTTACACATTCGACTGGTTTACAGTTTAACCCGGACAAAAGCCTGTCCATCCAGTCATTTCCAAAGAATTCGCTTATCCATGATCGTCCTAAAAGCGATGGAAATTCACTATCTACAATGTATAACTCTAAATCTGATCTATTAACACCCTTAAGATTAACATTCACCAGAGCCTTGCCTAAAACATCTATCTTCTGTCCGTTCTAGCCACATTTAATCTAGTGCCACACTTTCGAACAGTAAATCTAACTCCGGCTTGCTCTAATGCAACTTTACTACACACTGACACGCTCGCACCACTGTCTATTTCCATTACAAATTTCTTATTATTAACCTCAATATTAATTAACGGTTTATCAGAAATCTTGTTAACATCAGCAGAAAGTTTAAAAAGGGCATTTACATCAGCAAAACTAGCGTCAAAATCAGTATTAAAATTAATGTTTAATATATCAAATTGATCACTGTTATCAATGCTGTACAACTCACCATCCTTATCCTCCAATACTACAGAATTTAATGTCCTCTTGAACTGAGTAGTGTTTCGACTGTAGTGACCGTTGTTGTTGTTGTAGGACCGCTTGGGATGTGGTTTATTGAATCTGCGTGGCTCCGGGCAATTCGGTTTCATGTGTCCAAACTTGTTACAGTTATAACACCGAACTCTACACGTATCACCTCTGTGTCCTCTCTTTCCACATTTCTCGCAGTTAATGTCCTTACTTGCTGAATTATTGTTAGACTTGCTGTAGCGCACAGCGTTGATGCTCTGATTAAAGTTCGATCCTAAGGTTTGAGCCTCTCTTCTTGACCTCTCTACTGCAACTGTTCTCTCGTAAGCTCGTTCTAATGTGAGTTCGTCTATTTTCTCACTTAGCAGTGCTTCACGTGCTTCCACGCTTGAGATACCGCACACAAACTGATCCCTTATTCTCTCATTCAGTTGGGCCTGCTCAAACATACACTTGATTGCCTGCTCTCTCAGTTTAGTGACAAACTGTCCTGTGTCCTCTCCACTTCTTTGCTTCAACATATAAAACATATGTCGCTCAGAAAGTATCGTAGGTTTCGGTGCCATGTGAGCTTTGAGAACTTCCTCGATGGATTTTAAGCTTTCTCCCAGGAGTTCTTTTGGTGCTAAAAGATTCTTAATCCTCGTGAACATTTCCGTATCCATCGAATTCATGAGATGTATCACCACCTTCTTTCTCATGGTCTCTGTAGCAGTTGTTTCTGCATCAGATGGTTCGCCTGGGTTCGCGAATGTTGGCATTGTCAGATCCTGCTCCATTAAATGGTATCTGAACTTCTCAAACCAGTTTGAGATGTCTGCATTCGAAGTTAGTAAGTCTTTATAAGTCCTCGTCGCCATTGTGGTAATGTAGAGGAGAAGTAACAACTCGTTTTAATCCATAGAAAGGCTATAAAAGGAATATGAATGAGTTAGTAAACAATGTCTAATAACCATATACATATTAATCAATTCAGAATATAATATCAAATATATCAATAAATATAACAATATGCATATTATGTATTGTGAGCCCGCCGCGTGGCAATTGCATTGTAACACAATTCAAATTTTACATTCCGAAAAATTGTTTACCACAGCAAAAATAAAACATACAGGGTGGCAAAATTAACCTTAAACGAGTATAATAAAAATGTTTAACAATTTTTATTGTAAAACAATTTTTATTGTAAAACATTTTTATTGTAAAACATGTACATATTGTGATATAATATAATATAAATCGCAATAATACATTTACATATATATAAGAAAAGAAAGACAAAATTTGTTTAAGAAAGACAAAATATATATTGTATATGTTAAGTTATATTATTACGTTGTTAATCTTAGTTTCAAGTTTGATTAAAATATAATCAATAGTGTATATAAATATTAATTTTACTAACTTCGATAGTTTTTGTTATTTTAATTACAATTTTTAAAAACATCGTGATTCTCAAAATAAAATTAGCAAAAATAGCACTGTTTTAATTATTTGTAAAGTTTTTTAGCGTTTGCCGGCCATGTATTTATAACAGACAATGGGTAAATATTGTCATTGTTTGGGCTATGAGGATCAAAAATGTTCTGCCACATCTTCAATCGAACAAAAAAGCCTGAGGTCCCCATGTACAGCTCTTCCTTCAGAGAGCTGCCGAATCGATTTAAGACTGAAAAATACTTACTGTCAACCGCTGCAGCTTATGTTATGGGAAGGTTGCAGGTTTAAGCCCTATCATGTGTCCAAAATTCCTGGGGGAGTTGAACCAGTCGAATAATCAGGAAACTCGAGGGTATAATGAGGAGGGGCCCTGCCAAAAGATCTTGTAGTTCACATACATTGAAGTGTACTGTAATTCATAAGCTATTAATGGATGAAAATCAGAATACCTCTCCTGATATGAAGTGTGAAGACTATTGTTATGTCTGTGAGAGTCTTCTGTGAAGGGGACCAGTATGAGCAAGTCGTTGTCAAAGCAAATCAGGGAGAGTCAGCAGAAATGAAGGATTTTTTGTTTATATAATTGATTTGTATACAGCACACCGGTGGTCATGGTGCTGAGTAATGGCGTTCAAAGATAATATAACTTAATATGTTAAATGTTAATTAATTTTAACTGCTGGAGGTTTTAATTAAGCAATAATTAGCGTTCCAGTGCAATTTTTCAGGTTTTGTGTAAACTGTATGTGCAATGAGATTGGTTTGATCATGATAATCACTTTGCTGGGAACTTATTAATTCAAAGTACCAAACATCAGATCTCCTTTTCTAACCGTGATTTAGTACATACTGAACAAATTTTCAATTTTCGCTGGATAATTGGTGTTACAACTACAATGAACCAATGTAATTTGCATTTTACTCTAACAAGTATGATTACATAACAGAAATGATTTTTGATTATAATATTGTGGCTCAATGTTATTGCCTGGTAAGTCCTCTAATCATGTGGGTGTATTGATGTCCCCTGATTGTTATCATTGGTCACATGACAAGACATTTCCAGGTCATCTCAGTCCTTATTTTGTAACATTGTATCCTGTATAACATTGATGATTATAATTGAAAGTTTTCAATTAAAAATGTCGTAGATATGGACATGTAGATGTAAATCACCCTCTCTAAAATGGCGACATTCAATGACATTCAACCTCAACTGAAGGCTTATTTGCTAAAGCACAGACTCCCGGACCTGTTTGAGGTTTCATTCATGCATAATCTTGTTAGCTAATAATTCAATGAATGAATTTTTGTTTAACTGAACTCAAGATTTTTGTGATGTTTGAGATATTTCATAATTGTTACTTGGTAGTTTGACTTCTTAGATCTGAATATTTAAACCTTTCAGTGTATATTCACAGCCCTAGCTGCCAGCAAACCAACAGATCCAAATAAGTTCATACTTGACAAGCTCAAAGAATATCAGGAGGGAAAGCATTTTGATCTGTCATGGGACTCATTCGTCTCTCGCAAGGATCTACCTCCTAAACGAGTTTTCAAACGAACTTTTATAGAAAACTTTTTCACCTTGGAAGATCTTGCTGAACTGGTAAGAATGAAATAATTCAAACTTTAGAATTACAGAAGCTTTTATAGTTAAGTGGATTGAATGGACTATTGAATAACACATTATGCTTGCCATCATTGTTTTTCTAACATTTAGCAACTAACAATTTAGGAGACCTATTTAAGTACAGAAGATTATAACAATCTGGTGAGCTAGTTATGTGCTTGCATACAGGATATATGATATAACAACTGATTGGGACCTTTTTGTTATCGGCATTGGGAAAAAAGAGGAGTTTTGGAATGTAAAAACTCCATTAAGAATGATTCATTAAGCCCTTTATAAAATTGGTTTGAAAAAGATGCATTAATTTTATACTATGCTTTAATTTCGCATGTTAAATTCATCAAAAACAGCATGTTGATTAAAAGATAAGTTTAAAATTGTTAAAAATACGACGCACTGATGTGAATACTTTAGCAAGGCGTATCCCATTATAGATACCTTGGTAAGCATGCTTTTTAATTAGTATAAATTACTCACGAGTTTCTCAAAGAGAGTGTTCAACAGACAAGCAGGAGCATTGAAACAATTGAAACAATCGTTATCGGTGGGGAGACGACGATTGGTTTCGTTTTATAAATATCATAAATCGATTTGTTGACCACCGATTTCGATCGTTCCGATTGCTATTTACTTATTTAGACTATAAAATCATGATTTTCAAGAAACAGTGCAGCAGGGAGGTGATGCATTGATTTGGTTTTGATGAAGTAGTTTCTACTTTCTGTCACTCTTATTTTAACATTAACCTTTACGTGCCAGAAATTGTTTACCTCGTCTTGTCTTACTATATCAGCTATACCTATTTAAATCCCACCAAACAACGTATCAATAACTCAGGAATAACTTTTCAGAGGTACTATTTTTATTTTCAACCAAGTGAAGAACAGAAACGACTGGCAGCTCAAGCATACAATGACTCTTTAATAAAGAAACATTTCAAGTATGGCATTATATCAAGTTTAGTTTAGTGATGTTATGTAGTTTATATATAGATTCGAATAGATGATATTTGCGGCTAACTTGCATTTTGCATTTTATCAAGTATACATTTTCAATGAGAAATTGTTTTCAGAGCATGGCTGGGATTCTACAACAGAAAGAAGGAGAAATGCCGCAAGGCAGAGGAGGAATGGCAGAGGTCAGTGCAGTTTCACAAACATAAACTAACGGTCCGGACTTTTCAAGAGTGGTATGCCTGGAAATGTGAACGGTATAGGAGTCAGCAAGGTGAGACTGCGGTATCTATCTGATATACCGTCACTTTATGTTGTTGAAATTTCACTGAAAATATATTTGATTTATATCAAAGTTAGCTTTGAATTAAGTCTCATCGATTGATTCACTGTGGAATGTTAATGTACTAACTAGTGACAATATGATCACAAATCCTGGCACACTACGATTGAGAAATCTCAAAGTGATCAGTGATTACTGTTAACAACAAGTCTGATTTCAGAGGCGGCCCCCAGTAAGTAAACCTTTTTGGTGAGAATACGTGTCGTAATGCTGGCTGCTGTCTTATTATTATAATTAGTAATCCATTAAACTATTAGCAATCCATTAAAAAGCATTTACACTCACTATTTTTGTAATTATCACCGTCTTTCTACCATGCTAATCAGCACTTTCTTTATACGTTGTATCTTATTTGTTACTTGCTCTTCGTGAAGCAACATGTTCAATGTACGTAATTGTGATTACGTTTTTCGTTATTTGATTGAGGAATAAGGCGATCGCCCACTCCTTCATTTCGCATATAGCTTCTTCGTTCGTATATATTGGAAAGTGACATTGAATCTGCTTCTCTTATTTGTTATACTTGCACTGTTATAGAGAAAGGCACTTTCGTTGAATCCCTTAGTTCAAAGTTTCGAAAATACTTGAAAAACAGCCAAAGTATGCAGAGAAAGGACAAAAATCACACATTTTATTTTCTGAACTTTTGCTGCTTAAAACTTATGAACTGCACTCACGTGTCACATTCAATATGGATCAACTCCCCACTTGTATTGATAAAATATACAAACAATACGAGCTCCTTCCAACAAGCCCGCTCCTTTGTTATGCGAATTTTGTTGACTGTTTCAAAATGTTGGCTTACAATTACATCGAATAAAGTTAGCGAGTTCCCACTATAATACCCTCCCTAGCAACCAAACAATGAAATGTTAATGATCAATGTATCATCCACCTCCCCCACATTTTATATAATAAGAGCAAGTTCTTGCTATTGATTTAAATGTCCCGGTACATGAAGCCGATACTCTGATTTAGTGTACAAATTTGATTCGATCGAGTGTTACATCAAAATCCAATTCTAGAGACCAAACTTAATATTTTACTGAAATTAGAATTCAACTCGATTAATTTGGCGCTCAGGATATCACTGATACTTCACATAATAATGCCGTGTCCTAATTTCAGTTCTGGCTGACAAGATGAGACGGATTTGTTTACAGAACGCGATTTACACGACTTTCCGAGCTTGGCAACAAGTAACCAAACATGCCTCCGATACAAATAAATGGTTCAAAAAGGTAAGTTGAAATTAAGTAGTATGCTGCAGACTGCTAAATTCGTTCTTTATTTCTTAACCTGTTCTTTATTTATTTTAGCATTTTTATGGCTTGTTATTCGGGTTCAATCAAACGTTGTGGTTCAAGAGTAAAAACTAAATACTATTATTAACATCATTTAAATGAATAAGTAATATCAGGTCTCAAAACTTAAAAGTACATAATATCTAGCCTTTAATGAGGTCAAATTCCTAAAAACTTAAAAAGAAAAGAAAAAACAGAAAAAACAAACATTTTTTATATGCATAAAAAACTGCACGATTTACACCGAATATATGTGTAACGTAAAATGTTCCATTGGTTTAATTAATCATCTAGAATTATCTGTAAAATCACGTTCCCAGTATTTGGTTTTTAGCCCGGGTCCGTCTATGTCTTGAAATTCTTCAAAGTAGTATTGAGGCATTTTCCAGGAAGCTCGTACAAATGAAAAGTAGTATGTCCCCATCTGAAATGATTACAATTTGTAAGTTTTATTAATTATTCATCTAGCGCTGATTGAGCTGATTGTGAGCAATCACATTGTAATGTTTCCTCTGCATGTCTGGTGTTTTTTTGCGATTTATACTTCAACTTTAACTTCATCTTACAGTAAGGCCCCGTAAAATATACGCAAAACGAACTTTTCCCACAAAAACACGATCATGATGAAATAGCTGTCAATCATATAATGGGAAAGAAAATTCCAATTTCTCAGAAATCAAGAGACAAGAATGCAAAAAGATTGTTCTTCAAGCTCAACTTACATTTTCTTCGTGACTACAATCGGAAAAGGACACAATTCTGTCCTTTGCAGCTGCTGCACACTCTGTCTTGTCCGTTACACCAAGCTTCATTGTTATCATGAACCTTTCTCCTGCCACCACCTAGAAAACCTTCTGTCAGAATGTCTCTACTATAATTATCAGAGGGGTGTTCAATACAGTAATATTATATTATGATCGAATTTATTGTGTTAGTTTATATTATTATAAAACAAAGCTTTAGAACGTTGACGCAATCTTGAAACTTGAGTGTAGACTGTAGAGTGCAAGTGTAGAGGTATAACAGGTAACATAGTTCATATTTTTCTATGCCTCAATATTACAATCCTCTACAATGGATAATCCACGTAGACCCCATTGGGTGTGTTTTAATAATAATATCGCCCTCTCCTCCTCTCTACCTCTCGCTACCTCGACCAACTTATCATTGCATTGTGTTTGCTACCTCTACCAACTTGTCATTGTGTTTGGGATACAACTTCTGTTACGCGCACGTGTGCTCAATTGCTTAAAACTTATCAATTTATATATAGTTTTTACGGTTACCGGATAAATGCACCCAATTTGGATTTTTCATGGTCGTCATCTTGCGGCATTAGGTCTAACATTTATTTTGATTGGCTCAGTTTAATGATCAAGACGATGTTTTAATCGTAGAAAATTTCTACAATTGTACAAAATCACCTTTAAAATCATCTTTTAACGAAAGGTAGCTCTAGTATTGCTTTTTAATTTAATTACGATCCAGTTTTGAATCCGATTCAATAACTTATTCAGGCTTCATTGCAGCATTTTTTGCAAAACGTGCGCCAGATTTTAGATCTAATCTTCTTCAAACTTTGGTTGATCCACATGATTGTCCAGTTTAATAAGACAATAAAGAACGTTCACGGTCCAAGTCTCATAGACAATAATACGTCGCTTCCCGAAGATTTACACACATAGCATCTCTGATACACGTATCAATCAATAACTACAATATCTAGTCATGAATAAAGTGACACAATTTGAATCTGTTGGAGATTAAGATCATTACTGAGTTGGTCGTTAGCTGATTAGCAGTAAAGTTTCTCTCTCTTTTGTTTTGTATTTAATATCAATAATCAATTATATCATATCGATAATCGATCTTATAAAAGATATACCAACTTTTTGAATGGACAAAAACTTTTACGTGCAGAATTCTGTCAAAAGGTTCGCAAATTTCGAAAAAACGACCGAAATTGCGGATAACTCCGAATCGTCTGGCAGCCAAAACCACATACCGGTCGGTTCCTAGTCTAGAATACAGATTTGATAGTATGTATGCTGTTTTGTGAATTCATTGAACATAAGACTTCCAAATAAGTGCAAAATTATCGCAACTGGCACGTTTATCTCTATTCAGAGAATTATTTCTGTATGTACACTGTACGACCGCCCACGTGCAAATTAGATGAAAAATAGGAATTTAGGTAACAACCAAAAGGTTCCATAGCAACGGTGTTTTAATGCACACATGCACGTGCAAAGATTGTTTTAACGTCATTTTGATCGGTTTTGTGGTAATTACGTTGTGTTTAAAGTGTTTTATATTTAAATCGGCTGTATCTTCGGTTGAGATGGATATTTTTTGACGCGATTTAAACTTTCTAACAAAAAATACTATTAGCTTCCTCCCTGTGACCACGGGTTTTCTAGTCTTACTTAAATAATTCAGAGAATTCCCTTTGTACAATGTACAAAGTTTGTACGACCGCCCACGTGCAAATTAGGTAAAAAGCAAAAGGTTGCAAAGTAACCATGGTAACGAGGGTTATTACACGCACGTGCACGTGCAAAGAAATATGCTTGATTTTTCCAACTAACTATAAATTCTGTATTGAACAATGGGCTCATGGAATAAATGTAGCTAACTTGGAAGTTTCAACTTAGTCAAGACCTTTTACTAAACATTTTAAAACATTACTGAAAACACTGTATTGTATATATTACGGGTATCACATTCTTCCATTAAATTCTTCACACTCTAAACTCAAGACTCCAGTCTAAACTCAAGACTCCATCACATTCTTATTGAGTGTCGTTCAGGCAGATAATACCTCACTTCTCCGTTCGACCTGCGCAAATGACTTGCTTGATTTTGCCAACACGGGATTCTGGTGCATTCGTGCATTGTTATTTCAAGTCTCATGATCTGATGTTTCTTTCATTCAAATTTCCGATTGATTATGAATAGATTCAGTTAGAATCTGACTTAACTGAGTCTATTCAGAAACAATCAGAAATTTGAATGAAGGAAACATCAACATAGAATTGTTTATTTCTATTTATTTGCCAACATGGGGCCGGACCAAGATTCCACTCGTTCGTCTGGTTGGATTTATTCGATTTCATCATCATGGAGTCCGTGATGATGAAATCATATCCATGGACTATCGTTTTGAAAACACATTCTTGATACTACAGGCTACAGTTTATTTAAGAAGCTTTTATATAACGTCATGACGTGTCAGTCGTGTAATTATATGATCTTTTGTATTGATTCCCCGACTACCAAGTTACCTCTGGCTACAAAAGCTTAACTTTTCGTAGAAAACTCAACCCCTACAGCTTAAGACGACCATGGAATCTGACCTTTCTGGCTCCCTAACAAACTCAACGGACACAGCATTCCTAATTTTTGGTGGAGTCCTTGTTCTCAGCATGCAGCTGGGATTATCCCTTCTTGACCTGCTTGATTTTTCCAACTAACTATAAATTCTCTATGGAGCAATGGGCTCATGGAATAAACATAGCTAACATGGAAGTTTCAATAACGTTTGTGATAATATAAAGTGTGGTATGTGGAAGATATTTATATAGCTGTACTCTACAATCTAGATTCTAGATCTATAAAACGGAGTACGAGTTACTACGTTAGTCTTTTATCTCTCCGCTAAATCTACAATTCTGCTAACTAACAATTGACTTATGAGTATGAGGACAATTAAATGTTCATAGATGTTCATTAATAATTATCAGTTGGGGAAATCGAGATTTCAAAAAGTTTATTTTCATGAATTTTGTTTTTGATAATCACTGACGTTCACTAACGTTCAATAACGTTTACTACAAAATGACTGGAACGTGCGTTCAAAATCCACCGTTCACTACAACTTAGGTAATATTATATGATCGAATTTATTGTGTTAGTTTATAAAACAAAGCTTTAGAACGTTAACGTAATCTTAAAACTTGAGTGTAGAGGTATTAGGGTCTGCCCACACTACACCTCTATTCCCCGAATGTCTGCCCACACTACGCCATGTTTTGACGGGCCACATGGCATGGGTCAAAAAAACTGGATTCACACAACGAGGCGCGTAGTTTGGGCAGAGTTCCCGCCAGTTGTGTGATCCGTTTTTTTTGACCCACGCCATGTGGCCCGTCAAAACATGGCGAAGTGTGGGCAGATATTCGGGGAATAGAGGCGTAGTGTGGGCAGGCCCTAGCCCCTAACAGGTAACATAGTTCAAATTTTTCTATGCCTCAATATTACTATCCTCTAAAAATTGCTAATCCGTAGACCTCATTGGGTGTGTTTTAATAATAATATCGCCCTCTCCTCCTCTCTACCTCTCGCTACCTCGACCAACTTATCATTCTGTTTGCTACCTCTACCAACTTGTCATTGTGTTTGGGATACAACTTCTGTTACGCGCACGTGTGCTTAATTGCTTAAAACTTATCAATTTATATAGTTTTTACGGTTACCGGATAAATGCACCCAATTTGGATTTTTCATGGTCGTCATCTTGCGGCATTAGGTCTAACATTTATTTTGATTGGCTCAGTTTAATGATCAAGACGATGTTTTAATCGTAGAAAATTTCTACAATTGTACAAAATCACCTTTAAAATCATCTTTTAACGAAAGGTAGCTCTAGTATTGCTTTCAAATTTAATTACGATCCAGTTTTGAATCCGATTCAACAACTTATTCAGGCTTCATTGCAGCATTTTTTGCAAAACGTGCGCCAGATTTTAGATCTAATCTTCTTCAAACTTTGGTTGATCCACATGATTGTCCAGTTTAATAAGACAATAAAGAACGTTCACGGTCCAAGCCTCATAGACAATAATACGTCGCTTCCCGAAGATTTACACACTCTGAATTCTGATACACGTATTAATCAATAACTACAATATCTAGTCATGACTAAAGTGACACAATTTGAATCTGTTGGAGATTAAGATCATCATTACTGAGAACTTGGTCGTTAGCTGATTAGCAGTAACGTTTCTCCCTCTCTTGTTTTGTATTTAATATCAATAATCAATTATATCATATCGATAATCGATCTTATAAAAGATATACCAACTTTTTGAATGGACAAAAACTTTTACGTGCAGAATTCTGTCAAAAGGTTCGCAAATTTCGGAAAAACGACCGAAAGTGCGGATAACTCCGAATCGTCTGGCAGCCAAAACCACATACCGGTCGGTTCCTAGTCTAGAATACAGATTTGATAGTATGTATGCTGTTTTGTGAATTCATTGAACATAAGACTTCCAAATAAGTGCAAAATTATCGCAACTGGCACATTTATTATATATAATATGCTTCTTTTCTGAGTTATTGGCCAAACAAATTATATCTAAAAAAATTTACAGGTGCTCGTATTTCAGAAAATAAACTTTTGAATATGTGCAACCGTTTAAAAATGGCCATAATATATGCTATACACCATTTCAAGCATCTAATTATGTCAAATACTTATTTGGCGGGTTTTTATATATATATTATATGGTCATTGCGATCATCCTGCACTTATGGGCCAAAAGTTTACAGGACCCTCCTAGATAATAGACCACATATCTGTTAATTTGCTTGATGATTACCTTGGCAGATACCTGGAAATGGCAAAGTGCTGGTTGCTTAAAGTGTTAAAGTTTAGTAATCACCTTATTTCAATCGGTCCAGCTTCTGAATGAGTACGGAAGCCATACATTTCTATTCTTGCCCTAATGATCAATTCTATATTGAACAATAAGCACATGGAATAGACGTAGCTAACTTGGGAGTCGACCTTCTGCTACTTATTTAATACTCCTGAGGCACGATAATATCTCGGACAAGAAAATTATCAAACTATATACTACACACTGTTTGTGATGTATATTACGCGTTTCACATTCTTTCATTGAGTGTCGTTCAGGCAAGAAGCAGATAATACCCTCGTACTCATTTCGAGCCGCGCAAATGACCTGCATGATTTTTCCAACTAACTATAAATTCTGTATTGAACAATGGGCTCATGGAATAAACGTAGCTAACTTGGAAGTTTCAACTTAGTCAAGACCTTTTTACTAAACATTTTAAAACATTACTGAAAACACTGTATTATATATTTACAAGTATCACATTCTTCCATTATTCTTCACACTCTAAACTGTTCCATCACATTCTTATTGAGTTTCGTTTAGTTCAGGCATAGCAGATAATACCTCACTTCTCCGTTCGGGCCGCGCGTTAATGACTTGCTTAATTTTGCCAACATGGGATTCTGGTGGATTCGTGCATTGTTATTGAGTCGCATGACCTGATGTTTCTTTCATTCAAATTTCCGATTGTTTCTAAATAGATTTAGTTAGAACTTAGAATCTGTCTTCACTGAGTCTATTCAGAAACAATCAGAAATTTGAATGAAAGAAACATCAACATAGAATTGTTTATTATTTATTTAGTTGCTAACATGGGGACGGACCAAGATTCCACTCGTTCGTCTGGTTGGATATATTCGATTTCGACATCATGGACTCCATGATGATGAAATCATATATCCATGGACCATTGCTTTGAAAACACATTCTTAAAACTACAGGCTACAGTTTATTTAAGAAGCTTTTAGATAACGTCGTGTTATTATATAGTTATATGATCTTTTGTATTGATTCCCCGACTACCAAGTTACCTCAATACCTCTGGCAACAAAAGCTTAACTTTTCTTATAAAACTCAACCCCTACAGCTAAAGACGACCATGGAATCTGATATCTCTGACTCCCTAACAAACTCAACGGACACAGCATTCCTGATTTTTTGTGGAGTCCTTGTTCTCAGCATGCAGCTGGGATTCTCCCTTCTTGAGATCGGCAGTGTCTCTATGAGAAATACGAATAACATCATCTTTCAAAATCTCATGGATGCATCTATAGGGGCTGTATCCTTCTATCTCGTCGGATACGCCTTCGCATACGGCGAAGGCTCACCATTTATAGGTTTCACCAGCTTTGCTATCACCGGGCTGTATACCAGCCGGGACTATGCATTCTGGTTCCTTCAGTTCGCATTTGCTGCTACAGCCTCCTCGATAGTGGTGGGTGCTATTGCAGAGCGGACCAAGATGTCATCTTACTTTGTATTTTCTATGGCACTCACGGGCCTGGTATACCCGGTGGTTGTTCACTGGGTGTGGTCTGATACAGGGTGGGCTTCCCCTGCTCTACCTGCAGTCTCTCGGCTCTTTGGGGTCGGAGCTATAGACTTTGCTGGTTCCACTGTGGTGCACTCTGTTGGAGGTCTGACAGCCTTGATATCTTGCATTTTCCTGGGAGCAAGAAAAGGCAGGTTTGGAGAAGATGGAATTGTGAACCACCTCCCACAGCAAAGCACTCTCCTTCAGACTACAGGAACTCTGGTCCTGTGGCTTGGATGGTACGGGTTTAACGTCGGCTCAGCCTTGTCGATTAAAGGAAACATGGCCGTTATCTGTGGCAACGTGGTGGTCAATATGACGATAAGTGCTGCCACTGCCGGGTTGACAAGTGCAGCCCTGAGTCGCCTCTGTCATGGATCTTTAGATGTTCCTGTTGTCAACAATGGTATTCTAACTGGCCTGGTCTCAATTACCGCTGGATGTGGGGTTGTAAATGCCTACAGCTCTCTTATAATCGGCTTCGGTGGTGCCGTCTTTTACTTCAGTGCCTGCAAGCTCCTCCTCTGGCTCAAGATAGATGATGCCGTTGAAGCAGTTCCAGTTCACTTAGCCGGTGGTGTTTGGGGCACCTTAGCAGTGGGTTTCTTTGCCGTTCCCGAGCATGTAGCAACAATGTATGGTACAGCAAGTTGTGGAATACTCTACAGATCTCACTGTGACCCAGGCAAAGCAGAGAAACAACTTGCTGCTCAGGTTGTGATAATATTAGCTAACTTAGCGTGGACCGGGGTGATGGCTACGTTGGTATTCGGAGGGTTGAAGCTGGCTGGCTGGTTACGAGTAGATGATGAGAATGAGAGGGTGGGTCTAGATACTGCGTATCATGGTGGTAACGCTTATGAACTCATGCCTACAGCTCCTCCACAGGAGGAAGAAACTGAATGGACAGAGAATTTGAAATGATAAGGGACACAATTAAAAAATAAATTAGATACCCAAGGTACGGTTCGTTATTTAGTTGATAGACTCTTTGAATGACTCAATTTGATAGCCTTTCTGAAAATCTGCCATGTAGGTATATATCAACTCAACGATCGTTATTTCAGTTAAACTGATAAACTATCAGAATGGACTGCGTAAACTGACTAGAAACACGGATTATTGGTGATAGTTTCAATTCTTAGCAATGTAAATGTAATCCTATTAATAACTCTTAACAGCGACCAGTAAAAAAACTGCAAAATAATGGCCTGATTCTTTAAAATGTGGGTAATGTAGGGAACCAACCTGGTATCTAGCTCGGACGATTTCTCCTCTGACGAAAGCACTGTCCTCATCTAGGGTTCCCTGACGCACTGCACGGTCTCTCAGCTCTCTGAGTCCGATATCTGCTGCTTCTATTGCGTCCTTATCATCAACACTCAGCTCCGTGATACCTCCTAGCACTGTGATGGGGACAGTGTAGATTCTACATATTCATTGCATGAGTTCAACTGTGTATTATGTTTCTGGCTAAATCAGTAATTACTCGTAGTTTTTAAATTTTTGTAGAAATGTTTATTATTTTTTTAGTGAAGAATTAGTGAATTGAAACTTGAAAGCTCTCAATCAAATATAATTGTGATAGAAATGATCACAGAGGCAACATGTACGTTCTTTTTGTGAGCGTAATTGAGACAGAATGATCAATATGGTAACTTTACAACATTAGATCCCTACACGCTGTGTGTAAGATAGAATTCCTTGAAACAATAACATCATCTTTAGATGAACAACTAATGTACTCATCAAACTCGAAGCTGATCCCTCATTGACTCCCATTAAGTCACATTAGCAACGTTAAGATGTATTATAGTTATAGTTAGAACTATAACTATAACTATAACACATTTTAACGTTGCTAAACTAATGTAACACAATTTCAATCTCTTGAGGGATCAGCTTCCAGCTTGATGAGTACATGAGTTCTTCATTTGCCTATTTGCCAAGATTCGCCCTCTTTTATAAAAAAAAAAGAAATATCAATAATATCGAAAGTCGCTGAATTATCAACTTGCCATAGTATGATAATAAGAATAATGAACTTTCTTAGAATATTTTTGGGAAAATAAATTGTTCGATGGTTGGAAAAAGTGCGGTATCAGGTCAATAATGCGGTTCTGCACCCACCACACGTCTTATATGTTGGCTCCACCCCTGCAGATTTCGTCGATTTCAGGTGCCGACAGGACCTTAAAAATTAAAAGCAAACTATGGTTGGCTCTGAATGATCACGTAACGATCATGTGAATAAAACCTACTTGGTTGACAGGTATAACTACATCTCTTCTTGATGCTCATTTCTAATCTTTTGCATGTTTTCTTCTTTTTGCCCTCCAACTCGATGGATAAATCCTGGCAGGACTTGTAGTGTATAGGCTGGTACCCTGGAGGGAGAAATACATAAAAATCGACGCATGATATGAATTTTTATATGAAATAACTAAAGTTTGAACTGGCTCAATGGGTAAATTACAGAATTCAAATTCAACAATTATTGTAAGTTGCAATTATAAAAGTGATCTTTGTTCTAGGTATCAATTAAGTAAGATTGACTCACCTAACGACAGGCACTGATCAAACCTCCCCACCCTCTTCTCGCACTTTGCATTCTTCTTATCGGTTTTAGTTTCTTCCTTATTTTTCTTCTTCTTTTTTCCAGCCTCAGATAGTGTCAAACATACAACCAAAAACAAGGTTACGTGCCAGAGCTTCATTCTAGGGCAACAAGGAACGTCAATACAATAACAAGTGTGAAATAAGATAAATCAAATATTTGGCTAACTTTTCTTGTTATCAATATTAAGTTACTTGTAACCGAGTATTCAATTTTCTTATCGGAAATAATTTAGACAGATAATACGCACAAAATACACACATTGACGCGAATCTTTGTGTGCAAGTTCAACTAAACTATAAAATAAGATATTCGCTTATCAATTCGTATCTCTAACAAAAAAACCAAAAAAGACTGATGCAACCTAGTACCTACTATGTTAAACAGAAAAACTTTGAAAACAACCCCATTGTATTGACAACCGATCAAAACTATTACCAAATACCACAGTGCAGACACCCACTGAAATTATATATCAAATTTTGTGTATTTTTTATTCCATTTTTTGTATATATTATACTATGCATTATAGGAAGATAAAATGCTGCTAAATTTATATAAAGATAAAATTCTGGCATCTTTCTTCAGAACACCAAAGGAGCACTCCTTCGGTGTTCCGAAGATTGACGAAGTAGTAAATCTTATGGATACCTTAAGAATGTGCCTCCTATCACGTAAACAAACACATCACGTAAACAAACGATCTCACAGGAAGGGAAATCTATAAATAATTATATATAATAATTATATTATACTATATAATAATACAGGGTGGGCCAAAAGTCAGTACCCATACGTTGGGTCTTATAGCTCCGCTGTGTTTTATATTTGAGAGTTGTTGCTTTGCAGATGGCATACTGTACCTACTTGTTCGAGGATTCCGTCGCCAAAATTTGAAAATTCGAATATTTTAAACCACGCCCATTCAATATTAAAACATCTATATTGTTCTCTCTGAACATGCTGGACGCCTAATTTTTTCGGAGACGGTATATTATTAAATGTTGCATCTGATCTGAAAAAATAATGTGAAACGGATTTGAAATGACGAAGTTATAAAGCATTTTGTGTATCTCGTTAACAAAATTGACTGGGTGATTATGTGACACCGTGACACGACACCTTAATTGGGCAGCCTTAACGATTCCCATAATGTTTAACGGGTTGGTTAACAGGGTCACCTTATCACGTGATTAGGTAAGCCAATCACCTGATCACACGTAATGAATAAACTCGTTATGCTTCGTATCTCGGTGATCTGAGAAGCTATAAAACTCTCATTTTTTCAGGACAAACGTAATTCGAATGGCCAAACACAATTCAATAAAATTTGGCTCGATCCGACTATCCAAACTATGAAATAAATGCGAAAATGAACCTTAATTTTTTTAAAATGAACACGAATATTTTTCGATTTGACAAATTCCTCGAACCAGTGGTGGTATTAAATCATACCACAAAGAATTATTTCAATTGGGCACCCAGTGACTGCGCTATTAAGGCCAACGTATGGGTACTGACTTTTGGCCCACCCTGTATTATTATATTATTGTGGGTGGCGTCGTCTGCTGACAGTGCTCAATCGGCAAGCCGAGAGCTAGATACAAATAGAAACGACCGGTTGAGTCAAACAAATTTTTCAATCATGCAGGATCTCACAGGAAGGGAAATCTATATATAATTATATTTTATTTTTATTATTATTTTTCTACTTTTCTATATCCATTATCCATTAAGTTTGTTTATTTACAAGGAGGTTGTAGGCCATTAATAGCGTCGTACTTCATCCTTTTAATATCCAATAATAACAAATTTTAGTTTCACTTGGCCCTAGTCACGTCCCTGGAAAGTTTTCAGTCACGCGAGAAATAGGATAAGATGATAATTATATATTCTCAAAGGTCTTCATTTCGAGGAAAATCCTAACAGCCCTCGCCCTCTAGCAGCTGGCCGGTGCTTACTTGTGTTTTGTTATGGCTTATAGCCGGCTACAAGTGCATTGCTTTGTAAGTTGTATAAAACTATATAAATATAGACTTTGAGGTTATTTTAAGCAAAAATAGTTAAATTAAAATTCATATTTTACACCTCAAGGCTCAAAGTGCATACTCAACCACACTCTGCTACTACTACTGTACACTGTACAGTGTACTAAAGTACAATAAAAATCTAGCACAACCGAAAAATTTTCTAAGATCTACGATAAGCAGCAGCAAAAACAGAGGAGTCACACACAACATACAACATAAAGAGATAATAATGCAATATTATTCAATCGACTCGGGTATCAATCCGTATTACCGAAATATTACCGAAATGGTTCAGCCTGTAGACTGCTCAACACTGTGGTTTTAATCGCTTCAACGCGATAATTTTATTATCTAGAACGAGAATTGATCACTTTGAAATAAATGTTCGAAATTATAAGAGTTATCCCTTTTCGAAAAGTATAACCGTACCCTTGCTCAAGGAAACTTTGTATGTCCCGAAGCCACAAGCCTAGAACGATCGAAAATGGCAAAATAAACGCGATAAGCGGCTAAGATAATCAGCAAACTCACAAGACGTCTCGACAACTCGTTACAACTCAGAGTAAAGAGGCGGGTGTAAATTCGGGGAATATATGAAGGTTTTGTGAAGTCACAAATTGTGAGGTTCCCGGAAATTAAACCGTCCTGTCAGGACCGGCAAGGACCATGACTGAGATGAATCAATCGCCGTCATCGTGACGGGGGTTCTCTCGTTGTTGTCCAGGAGATAATAATAATATTTCCCATAAAAGAATACTCGAGGTAGATCCGGTTTAAAGGCTTCTGGTGGACGTAGTTCCTAGACGTGATCAGGTGCTGATATAGCGTCACGTGACGGCTTACACAGCGTCACGTGACTGTGTCACGTGACTGTGTCACGTGACTGTGTCACGTGACTGATGTAGCGTCGGGACGTGCTGTAATTGCTGAATAAAGATAAGACAATTGGTCGGGATTTCATCACGTATATCATGGGGTGGAGTTCATGGGAGAGCTGTGTAATCCACTTGTAGTAGAGCATGCTAAGTCACAATATCGCACTTTACAATTAGATATGGCACATGTATTCTAAAAATTACAAACTAACTCGTAATTGTATCCGATAATTGTTATCTTAAACGATTGGCGACAGTTTCTAGGCTAGAAACTCAGGTCACAGTCTAAATTTGGTTTAAATAAAGTGAGGGAGCTCGGTTCCTGGATAATATTACGGGCTGTCGCGATAAACCAAGAAAAGAAAGGTATTGTAATATTCGTGACATTTTCCACTGTTGTCTAAATGTTAAATGAAACATCTAGACGTTTTATTACTTTAAGATTTAGATAATAACATAACAGTATTAACGTAGTAGTGTGATGAGTATTTATAGGCCGAGACTGATTATACTGGCAGTCAGACGTAGCACGGATCACTGAAACTAGCCTAAATTATCAAATTATGTGTTGAGAAATTCATGTCATTATAAGTTGATTAAATTACAGGGGTTGTTATATTAGACAGATGATTTAACAGCTCATAAAAGATAATCATAAGAAATAAACGGGTTGTTCAAAGTAATCAGGGCCCGCGTGCACTGTTTGACTTAACGTGGACACGTGTCTGCCCCTATCAACTGAATATCGAATAGAAAATGGTCTATACAGACACAGTATACAATTGTAATGTTTAACGAAAATAACGTACACATTAATTTGAGTATTGAGTGACATGTTTACTGGCTATAAAAGTAAACAAGAAAATTAATCCTAAAATCGTCAACAGTTGAACCAAATATGGTTCCCTTACTATCGCTCAACAGAAAGAACAAAGTTTTGAAGAATATAAAGTAACAGTGGATAATTTCTAATTTATTAGAAAAGGATAATTGGGTATTAATATCCGATAAATAACACATCACCACGTCTCTTAGAACTCTGATTAATTTCTATTATTAGTATGCTTATTAACTAGTTTTAGTCTAGTTGAGAACTTTCCAGAAAGTGAATCACAAGAAGTTTTATTACTTACTATTATTACTTTTTCTGGTGCCATGAAACAACGAGCACGGTTTTCAAAAGTTTCAAGGTAATTTTCGTTTAATAACACTATACAGTATACACAGGAAAAGTCTATATCTCTGTAGACTGTTTTTATCAAACATGACGTTGGGAGATATTATTAACTTTTATTTAAGTTGGGATTTTATAGGTTATTCTTGAAATGCGGTCATTTCCTCACCCTCAACATAGCCTGGTGACTTCAAATATTCTGGTTGCCCTATGACGATAACTAAGTAAGAAATGAAAGGGTAAATAAATAAACGCTCAAAATCTGCCTGCAAAATTATGAAAATCTTTAATGGTTTTGATAACATTTTTGCTACAATTGTCAAGAAGGCTTTTAATTTGAGACAATCAACTTCAAGGGCTGGGCGAACAAAGAGTTACACAGAATTGAAATCCTCTAAAACTGTTGCAACATTGGCTTTTGTGAACTGCAGCCCAGTCTACATCAGACAGCTAGCAATGATTCTCGTCAGTAAGATACTTTCATACAACTCACTATCTCCATATTCTTATCTGATTCTGACTGGTATCCTAACAGAAATTTTCTGAGAAAAACTTACTAATCGTACTCAACTCTCAAGGCGTACTCAAAACGTGAAAAAACAAAGATAAGTTTAGTACCTAATTGTGAATGATGTGGTTTATTAAGTATAGCTGTGGTCAGTTTATTACCGCCCTCATCAGATAAATATTCGCGTGTGGCTGTGCAATTGTTTCATATTCTAGCTCAAACTTTATAGCTCTCCTTCAAAGTTTTATCGGTGTTGGTTTTGTACGGGTTTTATAATTATACCAGTTTATAAGTTTCACGTGTTTACTCTTTGTGTTTCGGAGTCAGTCGAGACCTTATGCACCAACTAATTATGTCCATTCCATTGGTATCGATGTCACGAGGGCTCTGAGACAGTCTACACTAGCTTCAAAAGTTTGAGCTGTAAGATTAAACAATTGGGTATGTCGCCAAAGTCAGTCCTTGGCGCTTATTACGTATACTAGCAAATTGGGATCGGGATCGGGATCAGGATCGGGATCGGGATCGGGATCGGGATCGGGATCGGGATCGGGATCGGGATCGGGATCGGGATCGGGATCGGGATCGGGATCGGGATCGGGATCGGGATTGGGATTACGATCATACCTCATCAAGTATTGGACAAATGTTTCAACCATACACACGAGTCTAAAACCATAAACACACAAAGTTTGTTATAGCATGCTCCATAATCTGCTCATTGCTCTGTACTGATTACCAGCCTTCCTTTAGGTATGATCATACAATTCTAATGCTAACGAAACTCCTTCTTCAGTACGAGATATTGAACAGTGATGATGAAGATGAGGTCAAGGATAAGGCAGTTGGACAGGACTTTATTTCAAAACTTCCTCACAAAGCCAGTAATAGGGTCAGCAGATTTTAGAGGATTTATATTTTTTCTAGTTACTAGTTAGTGTTCAGTAGTAAGTAGTTACTGGTAATCATTTCAGACCATTAAACTATAATATTATGGTATAAATACTTCATTAAACTGGAAGTCCCTGTCTCTCTGTATTTAACCAGACAGGGCGGTGGTAACAGATCTTCAAGACTCTGTTGCCAATATCTATGTTTGGGAGTCTCTCTCTCCAGCAGCAGGAGTTGGAGATATTACATTATTACGTGGACGGGTTGTGAATGCCACCGTAAGGAAGGCTTACAGTCGGCGCCGACAAATCAGAAGAAGACTTCATTAAACTTGTAATTTGTATGCTAATACACAACCTCTCCCAACAATCATCATATAATAACTTATTGATTTTGCTAACAACACTACAACAGCTCATTCGATGAATTTTCAGATATTCTCATTTCTGGACGTACTCGACAGACTGACTTGTTCGCTCGTGTGCAGATCTTGGAAGATAATGGTTCAGGATCGGTCTCTATGGACTCAGGTAATTTAAAGTTTTCGATTTCTAGTCTGGTGAGTTTTCCAGTAAGTTATACCGAAATAAACATTGCTTGAATTGGGTGCGTAGAGGCTGCTGTGTCTGCGCGGCTCCGGTTGTCATGGAAACGGGTAACATTTTATGATTAAAGTACATTGCAGTAGGTGTACTTCGGAACGCGCAATCGCGTGCATGAACTAAGCTATTTGATTTTAAAAAGCAACTCCATCGATCCGGTCGAAGATTCACTCTTCTTCTGCGAAATCGTGAATAGATTTTCTGCTTTTAAAAACAGTATTATTAAAACATTTTAAAGCCAATATTTGAAAGAATGTAACGAGAGATTCTTCATTCTTTTTAGATTGATTTACAACGCATCAAAGACAGAACTACAGACAGACTAGTTGCTAACTTGGCTCACAAATTCCGATCTTTTCTTTGTAACTTGAACCTAAGAGACTGTGTCAGGGTCACTTCATCATCTCTGAGATATATAGGTACATGTTAACCCTATTTAGCAACAGAATGCAATGATTTTCCATAGCCGAGTATAGTTGATATATAGGGCGCATGTAAGGTCATTCGGCGAATTTTCTTTGAAATAAAATGATGTATTTGTGTAACAATTTGAAAGTTTATTGATTAAAAAAATTGATCACGTTATTAAAATGTACTTTCTTAAAACAGGTCCCTTATATTCCAAACTGTCGCAGGAGAATGCCGGAATCTACAAGAGTTGAGTTTGTCAGGGATAAAGCAGATTAATGCTGACGTTGTCAATGATATCGGACTGGGTTGTAAAAACTTGCTTTATCTTAACATTGCGAAGTGTTACTTTGACGATGGAGTTTTGAGGGTCTTAGCGAGGTATTGCTTATTTAGATTTTTATTGATTTATTTTGAACCCTCGATAAACAATGTGTTTCAGAATCCAAATGGAACGCACTAATCAGTGTGATAGAAGGGCAATGAGAAGTATAATGCTTATAGGGACCCTGATAGACGTCAATACAGATATAGCCATTCTTATGTTATATTCATTATGCTACAAGTTACTTAAGGGTGCAATGAAAATATTTTCTGATAAATCTGAAATATTCTGTAAAACCCTCTGGTGTCGAGATTACTCCATCAGATCCCAAATTCGGATCCACTACTGTTAAGGAGACCCGCATCCAGTAGGGACTGTCAGCGGTAAGCTACAGCTCCTGCTGGTAATCGACTCGGAAAACAGTAGTGGTCCCCGTTTTTGGGTTGGAAAGGATGAAAACCAGATCTAAATCAGTTGAGAACAAAAATACCGACTCTAGAAGGCTTACTAATCCAGATCAATATACAGACCCAGAAGAAACAAATAAGCAATCTCAAGCAATCAAGGATTTGAGGTCACTTACTTAGACTTGTCCAATATGCAATCTTAAAGTGACTGAGTATGATGATGGCTTGCTGTGCGAAAGATGTCGCTCATGGCATCATAGGACTTGCTTGAAGATCAGTAAAACAGAATACAAGAAACTTAGTGAAAGCGATGATGAATATCTATGTCCAAGATGCCTAAAAACAACATCAAAGGACGCTGATACTGTGGTAGAAGAGGCAAAGGAGTGCTGTTTCCCAGATCATGAAAATGTAAGTGATCCATCTCGATTGAAATTAGGACCATGGAATAGTTGGGAAGTTCTGACAAAATGTGAGGAAATATATGGTGTTATAGTTAAATGGAGAAGAAACATATTTTTGCTTCCCTCAGGGGCGGCAGGAAAAGCATTCATCGAAGAAATGACTAAAGTGGCCAACAATTTCACATCAGGCAGTGCTATGAAATCAGTGACCATGACCCTTTTGATGATAATGCCATCACTACTGTCGCAGAAACCCTCAAAGAGGTCCAAAGCAAAGGAACACACTGAAGTGTTGAAGAGAAGACTTGTTTTGTGGCAGGCAGGTAAGCTAGAAGAGCTGCTGCGAGAAGGACAGGAGATTCAGAGGAGATTGGGAAAGGGGAAGCATAAACAATAAACATGGCCATGTTGAGAGAGTCTTCACTCGACTCATGATGAAAGGAAAAGTCAGTGCAGCAATGCGGTGGATTGGTGAAAATGCCACCGGGATTCTTGAACCTACTCCAGATGTGATTAAAGTGTTGAAAGAGAAGCATCACCTGCATCAAAGGGAAGCTGTCTGGGTGGACCAGTGAGGAGAGTAGAGCCGGTTATCTTTGACAGTATTGACAGGGAAATGAGAAGACAAGCAGCAAAGAGAGTACAGGGTGCTGCAGGGCCTTCAGGAATGGATGCGGATGCATGGAAGAGACTACTGTGTTCCAAACAGTTTGGTAAGAAGTGTGAGGATCTATGTAATGCCATAGCAGGGATAGCAAGGAAACTATGTGTCAGGAATTTGGATCCACCGCTGTTGACCTGATTGACAGCATGTCGACTTGTCCCCCTGGATAAAAAGCCTGGAGTCAATACCATTGATTGATGCAGGAAACATTGAGAGAAAGGTGACTCAGATCTGGTATGCTGATGACTCTGCTGCTGGGGGAAAACTGGAAGAAATGAGGAAGTGGTGGGATAACCTCTGTATTAAATGACCACTCTTTGGATACAGCCCTAAATCTTCTAAAACATGGGTGATAGTTAAGCCTGAGCACGAAGAGAATGCAAGAACCCTATTCCCAGATGTCAATGTGACAAGCATTGGTCGACGATATCTGGGCAGCTTCATCGGAACAGATCAAGGAAAAGAGGCTATCATCGAGGAAAAAGTTCAAGAATGGTGTCGTGATATTAAACAGTTAAGTGATATAGCATCAAGAGAACCTCAAATAGCATACAGTGCATATGTGTATGGGCTTAGTAAGAGATGGAACTATGTATGCAGAACTGCAGAAATACCCCAGGAGTTGCAGATAGGCTTACTCCTCTGGAACAAGTAACACGTGATGAATTTATCCCAGCTATCATCAACAGACTGTTTAGCTGCACTGATGAACTAAAGAACATAATGGCTCTACCACCAAGATATGGAGGATTAGGTATTCCAGTTATGATGGACATGGCAGATCGAGAGTACAAATTCTCCTGTAAAGCTACAAAACATCTAAAAGAAGCCATTCTCAAGCAGGTAGACAACTACACAGAGGATTGGAAACACAGCAAAGGAGTGAAAACCGAAATAACGACCGAACGGAATCTCTTCTATCTACAAAAACAAGCAGAAATACGTCAGAAGCTTGAGTCAATAACAATAAAAGGCTCTTTTCCTCACAATTTGGTTCAGGAAGGTGACAATGGAAAGTACTTCAAATTGAATAAACCGTTAAGAATTGTAATTACAATATCTCAGTGTTCCTCAATATACAGGGTGGGCCAAAAGTCAGTGTGCAAACGTTGGCCTTAATAGCTCAGTCACTGAGTGCCCAATTGAAATACTTCCTTCTGGTATGACTTAGTACCACCACTGGTTCGAGGAATTTGTCAACTCGAAAAATATTCGCGTTCATTTTTTTTCAAATGGAGGTTCATTTTCACATTTATTTGATAGTTTGGATAGTCGGATCAAGCTAAATGTTATTGAATTGTGTTTGGCCATTCGAATTACGTTCGTCCTGAAAGAATTAGAACTGTAGCTTCTCAGATGACCGAGATATGAAGCATAACGAGTTTATTCATTACGTGTGATCAGGTGATTGGTTTACCTAATCACGTGATAAGGTGACCCCGTTAACTACCCCGTTAAACATTATGGGAATTGTTAAGGGTGCCCAATTAAGGTGTCGTGTCACGGTGTCACATAATCACCCAGTCAATTTTGTTAACGAGATACACAAAATGCTTGATAACTTCTTCATTTCTAATCCGTTTTGCCTCATGTTTTCAGATCATATGCAACATTTGATAATCTACCGTCTCTGAAAAAATTAGGCGTTCAGCATGTTCAGAGAAAACAATATAGGTGTTTTAATATTGAATGGGCGTGGTCTAAAATATTCGAATTTTCAAATTTTGACGAGGGAATCCTCGAACCAGTAAGTACAGTATGCCATCTGCAAAGCAACAGCTCTCAAATATAAAACACGGCGGAGGTATAAGACCCAACGTTTGCACACTGACTTTTGGCCCACCCTGTACTATTTCAATGATACAGATATCCTAGGTCTTTAACTGTAAACATTAACTGTAAACGTCTGCTGTATTCAAACCAAAAAGTGTCCTGCCATCCAACAGGCCCACTCTTAAATATCCCCAGATAGTATAAACAATCTCCCACTCGTTTTAGCAATCTCTAAACAAATCCCAAACTATCCTCCTTGTAACCAAAACAGAGGTGTTAAAATGCACCCTCTGATAATCAAAACAGAGATGTTAAAATGAACTCTCTGCTCCCCAAAACTCTCTACTCTAAACAATTCCTAAACTATCCTCTTTGTAACCAGAACAGAGGTGCTAAAATGCACCCTCTGATAATCAAAACAGAGATTATAAGGGGGCAGGGGGGGGGGGTCTTTATGAAATTTCTCTCGAAATTAATTTTATAGTTGTTTCTAATAGAGGGGAGTGATATCTATCTGCTACTTTTAGTCCTATGGAAAAATATTGTTCCTAGACGAAATCATTGCCGGTCAAAGGTCAGCGCTCATGTGTAATTATTGTATTGCGTGAGCGATTTTCAATCGCGCGCCCTGAAAATCGAGTCTACAAATCTGTCTTCGCCTACATTTTTTGAGCAATCACCTTGAAACCTTCAGGATATATTCTAAGGACCATTTAGAAGGTTTCACTCTTTTTAGAATTTCGAGATAGGCCTTTAAACATTTTTTATTCCATTTTGAAAATCTTGGACCTGGAAAAATCGTCAAAAAAAGAGGTCCAAGATTTTCAAAATGGAATAAAAAATGTTTAAAGGCCTATCTCGAAATTCTAAAAAAAGTGAAATCTTCTAAATGGTCCTTAGAACATATCCCAGTGAAAGTTTCAAGGTGATTGCTCAAAAAATGTAGGAGAAGATAGATTTTTAGACTCGATTTTCAGGGCGCGCGATTGAATACGCTTGCGCAATACAATTACACATGAGCGCTGACCTTTGACCGGCAATAATTTCGTCTAGGAACAATATTTTTCCATGGGACCAAAAGTAGCAGATAGATGTCACTCCCCTCTATTAGAAAACCCCCTGCCCCCTTAAAATGAACTCTCTGCTCCCCGAAACAGAGGTGTTAAACTGAACTCCCTGCACTACCCTGATGTACTAAATGTCGTACACTAATAGTAGTAGTAGTAAATCTTTCAAAGTACGAAATATCTCTTTAAAAGAGCATCCTAGGCACCTTATAGATATCAAAACGCATAAAAAAGAAAACAAAAACATCAACCATCTTCTAACTTCTTCCATTCCTCCCTATCTAAAGCCAAAAATCTAAGGTCTTCGAAATCAGTCAAATTCTTAAGTCTAATATCAAGATTTCTACTAGTCAAGTCTTTTCTAATAACATCTAATAAGTTTAAACATGGTCTACCCCGTCTCCCTTCCATAAAAATATCAGAATTTATAGCAAATAACATAGAGGTGTATGCTGGTGAGTCTTCCTGTCCTCTTAAGATATGTCCTAACATTCTCCATCGAAACTTAGAGACTCTCACAGACAAGGGAGTGACATAACAACGAGCATAGAGTGCCTCATTAGAAATAACCCCAGTAGGCCATCTGATGTTGAGGATTCTTCGGAGGTGTTTGCGATGAGCAATATCAAGTTCATTCAACGAAGCTAGTGGTGCAGCCCAGGAGTTGCAGTTGTAGAGTAGAATAGAGACTACTTGTGCCTCGTAGATTTTGATCTTCCTTTGGACTGAAATCTTGCTCTTCATCCAAACTTTCTGAAATTTACTAAAGGCAACAATACCAAGGAATATTCGATTCTTGATATCCTTAACAGTGCACATCAACGATCCTAAAGTTTTGTTAGAGCGCCACTCTTCATCACCTCTATACACTTTTCCAACAATCACCTTGCGTTTAACAGTGGGTTTAGGATCTGCTAAATAAAAATGGACAAATTCAGTCTTGGAAGAATTGATATGAAGGTCCCACTGCTGGAATATATCTTTAGCGATAGGAAGCATTTCTTTGAGTGGAGCAAGTTCAGTGTTATTAAAGTCAATATCATCAGAGTATCCTGTTTCGAGTGGCATGAATTCTTCTGAGATAGGAGGATTAGGGATTGGATGATTTACTGGGTAAGGTGTTGATGATACTTGGGAGAGTACAGATCTGAGGTGAATAAGTGCAGCGGCTTCAACAACAGTAAATAGATTACCTGATAGTGCATCTCCTTGAAATGCTCCAGTTGTGCTTTGGAACTCAATTGATACAGTATTAAATACACTAATAAATGCCCTAAAATACTACGCTAAAATACTGTTTAATGTATAGTACTAAAACTGCTAAAACGAGTATATAACACACTGGCAAAGTTGATGTTCCAACTAGCTGCTGAGAAAGGGGCAAGTGCTTGGTTAACAGCACTACCGTTAAAAGAGTATGGATATCTGATGAACAAACAACAGTTCTCAGACGCAATAGCGCTCAGATATAACCTGAACCTAAAGGATTGCCCTAAAACATGTACGTGTGGCCAGAAATATTCAGCAAACCATGCGCTCATCTGCAAACTTGGTGGATATGTGTCACTGCGGCACAACTCGTTGAGAGACACCTTTGCAGAACTAATGAGAACTGTGAAATGCAAGGATGTGCAGACTGAACCAGTTCTTCTTCCAGTTGATGGTCTAGAGCTGCCAAAGGGAACAGTCCTAGGAGACCAAGCTAGGCTGGACATTTCTGCAAGATCGATTTGGAATGCTTCAGAGAGGGCATTTTTTGATGTAAGGGTATTCCATGCCCCAGCCCCCTCCAATGCAAGCAAATCGATCCCAGCAATGTACCAGTCCCATGAAAATGAGAAAAAACGGTGTTACAATGCAAGGGTCCTGGAAGTAGAGAAAGGAAGCTTCACGCCGTTAGTTTTCTCAACGTCTGGTGGAATGGGTGGTGAAGCTGAAAGACTAGTAAAGAAGCTGGCTAGTAAGATGGAATACCACACAGGGCAGAGGTACTCAGATGCTGTGGGATACATTAGGAAGCGCCTTCGTTTCGAAATCTTAAGAACGACGGTAATTTCTCTCCGGGGAGACAGAGGGGCGAGAAAGAACTTTGTCAATATAGACAGTTTAGATTTGAACTCGGAGCCGCAAGGCTAAGGGTGATTTTCAAAATATTGAGTTTTTGAAGGTTTTTTAAAAATATAGTATATAGGCCATAGGGTCATGATTGTGACATTATTTGTATACTGTTTGAAACATTTTATATTAAAAAATAAAATAAAAATACAGATATAGCTACACCCATTGGCGAAGATAAATGGGCAACTAATAGTTTTAAGTACTAATACACATTGTTCTCTCACAGACACTACGTGAATATCCAGTATCTCTCCTTAGCCGGCTGCACCGGCTTCTCGACAGCCGGTGTTTATTACTTCATGGTCGGACAGGGCCTCCACAAACTCTCCCATCTTGATATTTCTGGATGCTCACAGGTACCTCTCCTAGTTTATATTCGTGAATTTCTTCAATTGATTTCCAACATGCTGGTGGATTTTCCGACAAGGTTCTCATAGTCATGTACTTGGGCTTCACATTTTCTTTATAAAGAATCTAAACTTTTCCCAAAAATGAGTATACATTTTCTGTTATATCCCTTGGCGGAGTCTTCAAAATCAGATCTTTTATGATTATAGTGAGTAATTTCAGATAACCCACGAAGGAATGCGATACATAGCCAGAGGATGTCCTCTTCTTCATAGCTTAGTTCTTAACAAATTAGCGCGGATGAAAGACGAGAGCCTCTACTTCTTTACCAAGTAATAAGTTCGCTGTTTCTCTCTCAAACAATTTTGATATTGTGTTTTACATTTTCTAGGGTACAGTAATTTAATCAAGACAGTTCAATTTTTTCCTAATATTTAACCAGATTCTTCCCATCAGATATTGCCCTAATCTCAGAGCCTTACATTTAAGGCACGCTTCTTCTCTAACCGATACAGCGTTTATGCATATCGCCGAAAATCTTCCCCGCTTAAAAACTCTCTGCGTTGAAGGTATTAATTTAAATTTAAAGCACCCTGTTATTTGACTTTAATTCACTAGCTCGGCTAGGTTTTAAATTAAATCAGTCGATCTCAGTGAATAATTAAAGAGTTAGCGAGCTCTAAAATACATACTCTATAACATTTAATACCTTGTTCTCAGGAACATTTAATACATTGTTCTCAGGAAATCACAACATCACTGGAGCCAGTATAAAAATGGTCGGTAGAGGGTGCCCTGATTTGGTCCACCTCTTTATCATTGATTGTATACAGATGTGTGATACTGGTCTAAAGGTAAATATTGATATTTATATATTTCTGTCTGACAACGAAAATTAACCCAATTACAGATACCAGATTAAAACTTGTTGTCGTATGCATGTATTCGCCATTTTTGAACAGTTATAGCTTACTGGAATCATGCACACCATTACCCCTGGGTAATGGGTATGCAACCGTCGTGTGAACCATGATTCGTGATCACGTGATGTAATTTTATCAGGGATTCTCTGGAACACGTGGATTACGGGTAGTCAACCTGGGAGACTGTATCCGGATTAGTGATCACGGTGTCCGGAACATAGTAGACGGACCATCTGGACCACATATCCGGGAACTGAACCTCACAAACTGCCTGCGAGTTGGGGATACCACCCTGTTCCGGATAGCACAGAGGTTAGTTACATCAGTTGGTGTGTCACTGTGTTTTTACCATGGTTACCATGGTTACTATGGTAACCATGGTAACCATGGTACCCGCTAGCTTAGAGAATAGAGTGGTTAAAACTGTAACAATTTCCACCAAACGTTCTCACAGTCAGAAAACGAATGAGTGATCAACAATTCCGATTAAATCTTCATAAAATTGCATTGTAGGGTAGATAAGAATATTTTCTGTCATAATAAGTAGTGGATGACCTTGCTGTACGGCAAGTTAAACAAGGATCTGAAACTACTAGGTTCCGTACAGACTCAACTCTGCACCCGTGTCAATATGTTCATTATATGCAAGCCTCTTGATTTATAATCTTAAGAATAAAGATAAGATTAGTATTCCAATATAATAAAGTAAGCTAGGAATAAATTTCCATCGTAACTTAATTTGAACAGCTGTTTTGTAAATATAATTATTGTAATGACTTCAAATTTATACAGCCATGTCCAACTCATTCATTAAAGAATATTATAATTATCACAATACGGTTGTTGATAATTCTATATTGAAATTGGATAAAAGGTAACAAATTTCAACCCTGTACATTACAATGGCACAGCAGACCTTATTACGGCTTACACCTCGTTTTGATACATAATTAAACATCTATTAATAAAATAATTGAATACATATTTGCAAATAATCATTTATCAATCGAAAACATAATTATTAGTTAAACGAATATACGTAATTGATCAATTGGTTCAAGTTGTCATCTCATTTTATATAAATGGTTGCCTTTGTATTAACACATCATGGTTCTTGAAGAAACCATTAAAAACTGACCGTTTTTGCTTCAAAGAATGTGAACGGCTCAATCATAGATTACCCTTTCGTCAAATCGTAATAAATGATTGGTCTCATCCAATTCGCTTTTCTCTCCATAAATGAATTTTTACAAAAATCCCAAAATATCATATCATCTTCCCAGGCAGGTTTACCAAAATAGAAGGACTTAGTAATTGAGTCTCCGTATCACCACACCCCTGATATTTGATTGCAAAATGCATTTTATCAGCCGAGACTACGTCATGAAAATGTATGTCCATAGCATATTCCTGAGTTTCAGTGCACAACTCAATGTTAAAGTTGTTGGGTTGACCTGGCAAGGCTGGAGTAACTTCCAGCAGGAACCCACAATTACCTGGCTCACCACACGTTTCAATATCAGGATGTTTGAAGTAAAACTTGTACTTCCGACCCACTGTCAGGAACTCTTCAAAAACAAGGGTTTTTGTCACGCGTCCACAGATTTCAGCACTGTCCATCCCCGATGTTATTTCGCTCTCTTTCATCTTGTCAATGAACTTGTTGACAATATTTCCCACACTTGTTTCGTAAGAATTATTCCCCAAGCAATAATTTACGCTCTCGTTTTTCTTGTATAAGTAATCCTGACAAATCTTGCTCCAGCCCCTCACTAAACGTATTCGATTCAACTCCTTGACAGTCTGCTGAATAACCTTATCCACGAGTCCATTATTTTGCTTTTTGGACAAGTCCTGACAGGAAACCTTGTACAGCTTGAAAAAGGAACTGAAGATATAGCAGCTTACTGAAACCAACATATACATGTCATCAGCGTATTGCTCTACTTTATACAGCAGTTCTGGAATACTAACGAAATCCTGACAGGCAAGCGAGATGGGGTTCATCACTGATTCAATGTCTTGAAATGATCTCCGAAATAGGTTGGGAATCATTCTAGAAGACGAAACAGCTGTCATTTGCTTTCTTTTACAGAAATCGTCCATAGATTTCGAGTATAAGTTCATTACCATTCTCAAATCCTGTGTTGTCAAATTTTCCATGTTCCTTAACGTTTCAAACAGCTCATCAAAAGTGTCTGCATCTTGCTCTTTACCAATGCATAGTTTAATGCTATTGAGGAGATAGCTAATATTTCCATGCATTGCCTTGCTCTTCTTTATTTCTAATAGCATGTGCTTCTGAAGGCATGAAATGTGGTTCCCAGCTAAGAGAATCATCAAATCGAGCCCCTTTTCAGACAATTCGGCCAACTTCCCCGCGTAATTCCTTAACACCACGCATCCCCCTTTGTCAAGATGCTGTATGTGCCTCCTGATCCACGATGAGAACTTTGATGAGTTCGATCCAAGACGCTTTAACAGTCAGTTCAATGTTCACTGCTTTAAAGCAACTAGCTACTCTGACTTGGGAAAGAACTCAAAACAACTTAACAAAACCTTAAAGCGACTCAAACCAGAGTGCATATATATCCACACGGGGATTAATGACTTTCTCTACAAGAAAACGGGTCTTGTAGGCCACGTGAAGGAACTTTACTTACATCTGCTTAACACCACAGCAGCACAGATATGCTTCTCAGCGCTGATACCCTCCTCTAATGACTCTTATATCAATGCTAGAACTGGCACAATGGATGACATGATGTCTAACAATAGACACCTGAAAGACTACGAACTTAACGCCCATTACTGCAAACAGCTGACGAAACGCAACAACTCGGACCTTAAGCTGAACACAAACGGGCGACCCTTCATCGAACTCCTGCAAACAACTGGTCTAGTCATTCTCAATGGTAGGACCCTGGGTGACATTTTTGGTGCACCCACTTGTATTCAACGCCACGGTGTTAGCACTGTTGACTATATCTGCGTATCCACGAGTCTCCACGATAAAATTCGCCAACTCAAAATCGAGAGCATATCCCAGTACTCCGATCACAGGCCACTCTCTATGACTATCTCTACCAATCATCTAAAGAGGATCTCTACCAGTAATGACACTAAAGACATCCAGGATGCACCCAAATCCTTCAAATGGAACAGATCAGAGAATCTCTCTGCCGACTCAGCAACCCAGTTTCGCTCGGCACAGAATGATCAGACATTTAAGGACAAAATAGAACACCTCCTTAACCAACCAGCGAACACAGCAGACGAAGCAACACGGCTCAATAGAGATTTGGTCGCAACATACCACAACCTTGCGAATTCGGTTACTACAACCAAACGTGGAACACGTACTAACAAGAAAAAATGGTTTGATCTTAACTGCAGGCGTGCGAAAAGTGCGGCTAGTAGAGCTGACAGGAATGCAAATCGCAACCCACACAGCAATTTTCTTCGCAATCAGCACTTTCTCAAAAAAAAGGAGTACCGGGCTATTAAGAGCACGAAAAAGGGGAAATATCTGTTCGAGATGAATCAAAAGATAAACGAAAGTGGTAATGTTAACTGGGCGGCGCTCAAGCAACTGTCCGAACAACACAAAGATGAAGAGCCATTTGACATTTATGATCTTCTCCTCTTTCATAAATTTTTTAACGACCTCTACAACCGTAAGTGTAGTAAGAATCACCACGCAGATGATGACGTCGTCTCTACTCCCACAAACGATGAGCTGCAGAACACTAAAAACCTAGTCGACAGTTTGAATCGAGACTTCACCTTACAGGAGACAAAAGATGCGATCAAGAAACTGAAGAACAACAAGAGTGTGTCCGATGACCTGATATCAAACGAGATGCTGAAAAACTCCAACGAGCAACTCCAACTTGTTCTAGTTAAGCTTTTTAATGCCTGTCTTCAGTGCGGAACATACCCTTGGAACAACTCTATCACCACTCCACTCCATAAAAAGGGTGACCGTCAGAACCCCGATAACTATCGGGCCATTACCATTGGCAGCTGTCTTGGCAAGCTATTTTCGAACTTGCTCCTTAAACGGCTGATAGAATTTAGGGAAATAGCTTGTCCCGACCGACCGTATCAACTGGGATTCAGGAGTGGAGCACAATGTAATGACCACTTGCTCACCCTGAACACTATCATAGAGAAATATGTCAAAAAAGAGAAGAAGCGACTATTTGCCTGCTTCGTCGATTATCGGAAGGCGTTTGACAGTGTATGCAGGGATGCACTTCTGTACAAACTGGGCAACATGGGTCTCTCAGGCAATTTCTTTACTTGCATCAGCCACATGTATAACAACTCGTCAACCCGAGTTAAGCTGATCCAAAAGCTCTCCGCTGCTATCGACGTTACCATCGGCACAGAACAAGGGCACCCGATGTCCCCTGAGCTCTTCAAAGTTTATATCCACGAGCTTTCCATCAGACTGGAACAAATCGAAGAGTTGAATGTCCCAATTTTAAACGGCATCAAAGTAAGCCACCTCCTATGGGCTGACGACTTAGTCCTCCTAGCACTTGACGCGTTCAGCCTACAATCGTTGCTGAATTGCTTGCACGAATATGCAGAAAAATGGGAGTTATCAGTGAACATCGACAAAACCAGTGTGATGGTCTTCAATACAAGCTCACGAACACTTAAATGTTCTTATGGCTTTAAACTAGGAAGCCTGGACATTATACCAGTAAAAAGATACTGCTATCTCGGAATCCAATTCTCTCTGAATGGATCGTTTAAGGCCACAGGGGGGGGTCCGAGGTCGATTTTGAGATTTTGAGATATGTTGTAGAGCTCGATCTAAATTTTCAAATGCTTTTGTCCTTACCGAAAACAAAGTTTCCTATTTGAAGATATCGCGCGTTGAATTTTGAGGTTTACCTGTAATTCTATTGTAAATGAAAACTTTAAATGAAATCGTGTTCAAAATCTATCTTCTTTTTCAGTTTATGACTTAGAACCTTGTAACTTGGCAACAATGTTCTTCAAGGTATTTTAAGTTTTTGTTATGTAAAGATTTATGATATCTTGCTCCAAAGCTGAGATATGAGGTTAACCATGAGTGCGGGTTACAAAATTTAAAATGGTTAACCTCATAAAAAGAGTTAGGAGCAAAATTACAACAATCGTTACATAACAAACTTTTAAATTTATGTCAGGAACATAAGTTCCAAATTTGAGGTGAAATGGATAAAAACTCTAGGAGAAGATAGATTTTGAAGTCAAAAATTCGAGGTTTTCAGGAGAGGCAAAAAACTGTTTTTTATGTTATGTGATTTTTGAGA